CCCCCGCCCCCCTCCCGCCCTGCACCGCAGAACGCCTCGCAGGCACACCCTTTTCTTGTCGTTTTCTTGCATCCGGGGTACATGCACTTGCGTTTTGTCTTAATGTGAACGCTCCCCCAAACGTCCTTCGGGGGTTCCGTATCTTTGACCTGTCTCCCCCCCTTGTTGAGGCTACCAACACCGCACCTCCCCATGAGCTCCGTCGACATCTGTTCGTCCCAGTCCGACCTCTCAAGATTGGCCAACCTGCGGAGCTCCTTCACCACTCCCTCCAACTCCATCGACGACTCAAGGTCTAGGTCTCCTCTCTCGAGCCTCTCCTTCGCTTCACCGTCCCAGAAGGCTACCAAAGCCTTGAACATCACGAAAATGTTGGTGAACGTCTGCTCAATCTTGGCCTCCATCACTCGCCGCCAGTAGTTCGTGCACGCCTTGTGGTCATGGGCGTGGGAACCATTCTGTTGGTCGGCCGTATCTACTCCCCCCATGTTGGCCACGTAATCCTTACGCATCCACAGCTGCTGTAGCTCCATGGGTTTCCCCTTCTGCCCAGCTTTGCGCAGGCTGGACACGCACGAAAAGGGGCAGGCAGGCGGGGGGCAGGCGGAACACATGGGTCAGGCACCACACTTGCGGCTGCGGCGACGACGAACTGGATGGAGGTCGTCGGACGTAGCAACCTATTTTTACCCCGGCGTAGCATCAGCCCCTGTCAACACTACAATGCTCAAGCCCCAAGCACGTTCCCGGTCGGTGAGAACAGCCTGTGTGACGAACCGAATACTAAAGGCATGAACCCGAGCCGCTGCATTTTGGCAACACCAAACTTTGAACTCCATCAACCTTTGCACGAACCAGTTTGACCGACATGCTACTCGAGCGAGGCATCCGACATGAAGACGCAGAAATAAAAACATGAATCTGGTCAACAACAACAAAAAAGGTCACCTGTAAGGTAGAGGTGCGAAATGGTCGTCGCCGCCGTCGTCGTCTTCCTTCTTGGGCTGGCCGATGGCGGCGCGAGGTTGCGCGAGGTGGATGGTGCTGCACAGGATGATAT